TTGATTATTTCAAAGGGTTACTAATGACACATCATTTGGATGTTTTCATGTCTGGGAAAAATTTGGGATTAAACGGGCTAAAATGCGTTTTCAACATAAAGTTAAGTGGTTTTCATTGCCCATTTTACTCTTAGTAATTTAATAATTTCATAATTTAAAAGTTTAGTGCAGAAGTATCGAATCGGTATCGATATCGACGATACTGCCTTGAAAAATATCGGTATCGAATCGAAAACAAAATAAGGGGTATCGCCCATCCCTAATGCGTACAATGCTCACGCTCTTCTTCTTCTTCTTCTTTCAGGTTTAATGGCGTTTGGCAACTCATCTCAAAGGTGCATTACCGCCACCTACTATGCTCACGCTCGTTCGGGCTCAGTGCTCTCAATGCTCTTCTTCTTTTGGTTTTATGGCGGGTTGCGAACCAACTTCATAGGTGCATATGTGACAGAGTGAAATACATATGTCTGTATAATTATATTTGAATCTGTTTAAAAATGTTTAGAAAATGCAGACAAGTTATCTAAATGATTTTGGTTAATCTGTGAGTATTGAAACCACTCATTTTCATATATGAAACCACTGATAAGAAATCCAGTGCTCAAAGTGCACCAAAATCATCTTCCAATGTGCTGTCGGAACTGAAAGAACTGAGAACTGATGTAGCTTCGCTCAAAACACTCAGTGCTGAAATAGCTCACATCAGAGAATCATTGCAGCAACCAGCTTTTGCCTCACCACAGTGTCCTGTTCCTGCACAGGGAGACCCTGAAAGAGAAATTATTCAGTGTCAATTGCAGCCATATTGGCCATCACCGGGCACCAACCAAATGAGAGTGAATACTCCGTTTCAACCCCAGTATATACCCCGACAATACTATGCACCCCCTACTCGTTCCCAAGCAAGAAAGTGCTTTAATTGTCAGCAGCAAAGAACAGAGGACCGTTGCATGCATTGTTTCAGATGTGGCAGTGGCGAGCACTTCCAAGCAGGATGCAGGATCCGGGGCATTAAGCCTTCAAGAGAGAGTCCTTTAAATGGAGAGCGGTTACTTCCGCGGGACAGGGAGTAACCAGACCCACTGACCGGTCCCAAAGATGTGCAGCCTGCGAAAAAACAGAGAAGCAAATGAAGCAGTGTGCACGATGTAAAAAGATACTGTATTGTTCTAAGATCTGTCAAACTCACCATTGGACTGAACACAAGCAAACTTGTATCAACCCACCAAGACCAGTTTCAAATTCCTACCTGACGATGAGTGTCCACGCCCCCTGCAGTACTCGAGTTAACCAGCATTCCTCTGTGACATCACTAGTTGGGAGGCAATGTCTTGTTGAATGTTACCTGCATGGCCATCGAATTCAAGCACTGTGGGACACAGGCTCTCAGGTATGTGTCATTGGTGAATTGTGGAAACAGGAATACTTACCCGAAGTCCCACTGAGAGATGTTTCAGACATCCTTGAGTCTCCAAACACTTTGAACCTCGTGGCTGCCAATGGTATTGATATGCCCTACATTGGATATGTGGAAGTGACTTTCAGACTTGCGTCACCGACATCTCACCATACCGAACTTGTCATTCCCATACTCGTAGCTAGGGGTCAAAACCTCTCTCACCCTATCATAGGTTTCAATGTGATAGAACAAATTGTGAATTCCATTGAACAAGCCCAGCCAAGTACTGTGAGTGACAAAACGCTTGAGAGAACTGAAAGCCGCATTCCCCAGCCTAAAAAGAAGCAAAGTCCAGACGTTCATCAAACTTGTAAGTGCAGAATGCTCACGTGAATACACAGTAAAGACCATGAAAGGCCATGTTAACATTCCCAAATGTAGTACTGTGCAGATCCCATGCCGTGTGTACATGCAGCCAGTTAAGGAGGACAGCACACTCATTTTTGAACCCGATGTGAATCCTTGCTGGGCAGATGGGCTTGAATTCAAAGAATGTTTAATAAGGCTGAAAAGAGGGGCTCCAACAAATATCACAATTGAGATATACAACGACACTGATCATGATATCACTCTGATGGGCCAGACTCAGATGGGTACAGTACAGTTTGTCAAGAATGTCTTCCCTGCTAGTATGTTTGAGGTGCCGGCAAGCCCTACCGCTGTTGGGGCATGTCACATCCAGGCTGCGGAGAACTGTCACGACAACACCAATACTGATCATTGGGACCCGCCAGTCGATGTCAGCCACCTGAGTAAACATCAGAGACAGATAGTACAGCAAATGTTAAGGGATGAGTGTCATTCATTCTCTAAATCAGACAACGATATTGGGTGTATCAGAAATTTGCAGTTGAGTATATCACTTAAAGATGATGAGCCAGTCAATCGCACTTACATGTCTGTGCCAAAGCCCCTGTATCGTGAGATGAAAGAATACTTACATGACCTCATAACACAAGGCTGGATTGAAAAATCCAACTCATCATACTCGTCTCCAATTGTATGCGTAAGAAAGAAGGATGGCAGCCTCCGTTTATGTATAGATTATCGAGACCTGAACAGAAAGACTCACCCAGACAGACAACCAATTCCTAGGGTGCAGGACATTATGGACAGCCTTGGAGGTAATTCCTGGTTTTCTTCATTAGATCAAGGGAAGGCCTACCACCAGGGGTTCATGTCTAAGGAAAGTAAGCACCTAACTGCTTTAATGACACCCTGGAGCCTGTATGAATGGATGCGTATTCCTTTCGGGCTGATGAATGCTCCTGCAGCCTTCCAGCGATGTATGGAGGAGTGTTTAGACGGCTTGCGGGATGAGATCTGCATTCCATACCTCGATGACACCTTGGTGTTTAGTAAGACCTTTGAGAACCACGTCCAGGATGTAAGGAAAGTGTTGCAGAGACTTAGGCAACATGGCATCAAACTTAAACCGAGTAAGTGTGAGTTCTTCAAACCTGAAGTCCGCTACCTGGGTAGAATAGTCTCTGCTGAGGGAAGTAAAGTTGATCCTGCAGATACAGAAGCTGTCAGATCCCTGAAAGACAAACAACCAAAGAATGTGGGTGAGCTGAGGAGAATTCTTGGTCTGCTTAGCTACTACAGACAATACATTAAAGATTTCTCGCATAGCTAGCCCTTTGTATGACCTGTTAAAAAGTACTCCAGAAGATAATGCTCACCTGAAAAATAGTCAGAGACAATCAAAGACAAAATGCATGAAAACTGGTGTTCCATCGAGTAAGCCCATTAGCTGGACTGAACAACATCAGAGCACTCTTGAACAGCTAATTGACTGTTTGCTCCAGCCCCCTGTATTAGCTTTCCCGGACTTTTCACAGCCTTTTATACTGCACACAGACGCGTCAGCTCAAGGCTTAGGTGCAGTATTATACCAGAAACAAAATGACAAACTTCGTGTGATTGCTTATGGGTCCCGTACTCTATCTGCTGCTGAGAAAAACTACCACCTACACTCAGGCAAGCTTGAATTTCTTGCTTTGAAGTGGTCAATCACCGAAAAATTTCGTGATTATTTGTATTATGCTCCAACTTTTACTGTATATAGTGACAACAATCCCCTTACGTATGTCCTGTCAACTGCCAAATTGAATGCTACCGGTTGCAGGTGGGTGGCTGAATTGGCAGATTTCCACTTCACAATCAGATATCGCCCAGGTCGTGAAAATATTGACGCTGATACGCTGTCCCGATTGCCCCTCGATATCGGTACTATGATGAAAGAGTGCTCTGAGGAGTTGTCGTCAGACATAATAGGTGCAACCATTCAGGCTGTAGAAGCTCAAGAAGGACCCAGCATCCCATGGTCAGTCTTGACCAACTGTTCATCTATTCAGACCTGTCCAGCAGTCCCGACAATACCCCCTTTGTCTGTGAATGTAATGAAGGATGCTCAAATGGATGACCAGGATATCAGTCCTGTATATGAATGCAAACTGTCTGGCAGAGTCTGATGAGTATCCAAATGAGGTCCTGGAACAAGTTCCTGCTTCACTGTCATCCATGGAGAGCGACCAAGAACAAGAGATCAACTTACCTGCTGATGAACACCTTCCTGCTTCCACGCCGTCTGCTGAAAGTGACCAAGAAGGTCAAGAGGAGCAAACTTACCAGCTGCCTAGGAGAGAAAGACGCCCACCAAGAGTACTTACTTATGATACTTTGGGTATACCCACTTATGTCGGACAATTTAATGGAATCTTGCAGACACCGCCACAGCACTTACCTTATGTGTCTGCTCATGGACTGTCGACTTGGCTGCCGCCTGTTCAGCAATACGGTTATCATTTGCCTTTTGTGTATGGAGTCCACTAATCAGGGGCCACGAACTGTTAAATTTGCATTGAGACAAGACACTCAAGACATCTTGAGTTTCTTTGCATTATTACAGTCTGACATCTAGAGAACTGATGGAGTGTTTTGTTTTAGGAATATTGCTTTGGACATTTCTCGAACTTTTAAATGCTAAAAAACAGAACATGGACTGTTTTTTTTTAGGAATATCTCCTTTAACAGTCTTTTAACTTTTGAAATTTTGGGAATACTATGGACTGTTTGCCTTATGGACTGTAGTCTTGAGAGGCTGTGGAACTTTTGAAATCCAAAGAAAATGTGGACATGCCTCTTATGCCTCTTTAACTTTTTGCACTTTGAGGCACTAATGGACTGTTCTTTTTCATAAACTGTAGTGAAGTATGTGAAGTATTAAGTTCAGGACAATCCAGGGACTGTTAAAATGCTGAACTCTGGCACTACAAAATTTTTGTGAAACACAAATGGGATTGAAAGACTCTTGTGTTAAAGAAAGGTAATGTCGAGACGACATTTGTTTTGTAGGGGAGTGTGTGACAGAGTGAAATATATATGTCTGTATAATTATATTTGAATCTGTTTAAAATAGAAAATGCAGACAAGTTATCTAAATGATTTTGGTTAATCTGTGATCGATTGGTTTGGCACAATAAGGTGTGTGATCTATTAGTCAGGCCTTGTTGAACACTAGGGGGGAGAACTCACGGTGTTTCTCCATTACACATAAAGTTTGCAGTGGGGAAACATAGTCTACTGTGAATGTGCTTAATCTTCTCCCCCTTTTCAGGTATTAATTTGAATTCTTTGTTAATGTAGTATGAGTTTATTGAAAAAGATGTTTTGAGGCTGTGCAGATGTCATTATATCGATTGCGTTATAATTAACATGTTGAAAAGTGTAATTAGTTCAGAGATGTGTAAGCTCTGAGCTCCATTTTGAGTATTGATGGCACGATACTTAATGAAAATTCTTTAACTCCTAAGGATTGTAATTCATCTTTAAGTCGATCCCTTTCTCTTTCATATGCTGTACATATCATCATAACGTGTTCCACTGATTCCTCTGTTAAACAAACATTACATAGACCAGTATTATGTTTCCCTATAATGTATAGTGTTTGGTTAAGATTTGAATGTCCTGTTCGTATACGTGTTAAAATGACTTGTTCCCTTCTACTTATGTTATGAATGATTTTTCTTCTCTTTATACTCCTTTGTACTTTGTGATAATGCCTACCTGTTTGACATGAGTCCCAGTATATCTGCCATACAATATTGCATGCATTTAATATGAACTGTTTTCCTTCTATTCTGCTGAGTGCAATATTTATACTTGGGTCATCCATATTTAAGGATTCTTTAGCCATTTTATCTACCTCTTCATTACCTTGAATTCCCACATGTGCAGGTACCCATATAAACCGAGTAATTATCCCTATCTGTTTAATACTATATAGTGTAATCATGATTTCTGTTAAAATGTCTTTTCTATTTGATTGCCATGATTGTAAACTCATAAGAGCTGCCATTGAGTCAGAGCATATTATTACTTTATCCGGTCTTACTTCATATACCCACTCTAATGCCGTAAGGATAGCTACCATCTCTGCTGTATATACAGAAGTACCATCCGTAATTCTTCCAGCCTTCCTAACCTGAAATTCTGGAATGAAAAATGCAGCACCTGTCCTTCCAGTTTCTATGTTCTTTGATCCATCTGTGTAAATTTGGAGAAATTAATAATGCATACTTTTTATATATTCTTTAACATAAGCTTTAAAATTAAACCCCTCCCCCATTCCCTTGATTTCTTTATGTACGTTGAAGTCAACTTCTGGTTGTTCTAATAACCAAGGTGCTAATGGAGGAGTTACTATTACCGATGCAAATTTATTTGATTCCATTCCAGTTTCATTGATCAATTTCTTAATTTAGCATTCAAATCCTTTACCTGGTTTATTTACTGTTTCCCAACTTTCATTAAGTACTTCTCTTACAGGATGATCCTCTCTTTGGCCCTGAAGATTAATCCAGTATGCCATGGCTAGTTTTTCTCTTCTTAAATGTAGAGGCATTTCTGAGGACTCCACCTGTATTGCTGCAATTGGTGTCGTCTTAACTGCTCCACCAATCTTAGTTCTTTAGCTTGCATAATATCTAGTTTCTTTAATAAGTTGCAGATTCATACACAATACATCCATAATCGCTCTCAATGCTCCTCTTCCTTCTCAGCTTTTAACAAAGATTTATGAATACTGTAACCAATATATTGCTCATTGTTAGTTATATGCTATGCTATAATGCATTAACTTAGGAAGGTTATTTTAAAGTGTTACCCAATCATAATGAAAACTAAACATAAAAATAAGTGGATTTTTGTATTTACTGAAAAATATTTACTAAAGCAATACTACAATCAACAAGCATGAGAAACTTTTTTTAACTTTCTCATAATTACATCCTTTATATAAAATAATCGCTTTATATAAAGGATGTAATTATCGCATAATCTGTGTTTTCACATCCACTGGATCATTAGAAGGGCATGCTTATACATTGAGGAAAATAACTATTCTTATGAAGAATTACAAATTAAAAATCAAATCAGATTAGGTGCTACAATACAAATCCATGGTTTCTGTAATAATAGCCATTCTCTTAATCAATTCATCTAAATTAAAAAGAAAATTCTGTCATTTATTCAAGAGATTTTGATGAATGTGGGTAACCAAACAGTTGCTAGTCCCCATTGGACAGAATTTTCAGTTTTGGATGAACCGTCACTTTAAGGATTACAGAAATGTAGCTCTTCACCATTTCTGACTAAACACCTTAGTACAGGTAGTTCCACCACAATATCATTAAGAGGTTGAACAGCAAGTTGAAATGTTGGACCAGTTAAATGGAGTAATGTCTTAAAAGCACAACAGAAGAATAACTTACTTGTAGCAGTCTGTACATTAAAACGGAACAGAAGAATGCATTTTAGCATTAAAAAAAATAAACTTCACCTTTGAATCACTTCAGAAATACTGCACAGACAACTTTAGTATAAAATGTTTTTAATTCTCAAACCAACAAACAACCACAATTAACAAGTAAAAAAGGATTCCCAACCAATCCCCTGGAACAATAAAATAAAGTACACAAATGGTGTGTGTTTCCTGCTGTCACAGAAAACTTCACTGAGACACAAATAGGGACCACAGCCACCACCACTTCAGCACACATCTAGCTCATCTGGACTGCTCAACTGGAGAAAAAGAAAGAGAGGGAAACATTAGGAGGCAAGCTGTAACTGTACATTTATATTATTAAAAAAAAAAAAAAAAAATCTAGCAAAACTTGAGATTGTT